CTCACTCACTCACTCACTCAGCCACTCACTCATCTCACTCCCTGACTCGCTCACTCACTCACTCACTCTCTCGCTACATTACACAGCTACCTGACACAGCTACCTGATAACAGCTACCTGACACAGCTACCTGATAACAGCTACCTGACACAGCTACCTGATAACAGCTACCTGATAACAGCTACCGTATCTAAACGATACCCGTATACAAATGACCGCACTCACACCACACTCCATCAATCGGGCCCATTGTAATTGAGCTCGGATCCCGGCTACGGGGAAACTTGCCGCGCGTTAATATAGACGACAGCTATCGTGGGACTGGAGAGGCAAGTGCGGGTAATATAATTCCCCCACCACACACATCGCAGGTTTCTGTGCGCTTAATTCATCACACTATAATCGTGTCGGGTGCGCGTTTTCGTAAAATGCCTCCGTTGTTGACAAGCGGTGAAAATGCCGCGCCATTCACTCGTCCGTCTGTCTGTCGTCTACCTATACTTTACGGACAAAGCCGCAAAACAGCAAACTTTGAATTGTTGTTTTGTTAAAGCGTACCACGGTGTCGCGTACGTGCGCAATTAAGGATACATTCACGCGGATACGCAGACAAACACGCCAATATATGTTCCCCGATTTCATCTCCGTACCTCATGTACAGACAGGACACGCGGCTGCTCCACAATCGTCACTAGACGAAAACCACAACCCAAAACAACACACAGTGGTGGTTCCCCTGTCCCGATAAAGCGGGAGACCACTGTTTATGGGCTCAGCCAGCGTCACTGACAACCGCGATGTTGCTAACAAATGACAGACGTCATCGCACGAACGCATCGTGAAGCGCTAACGACGAATTAACTGAGACGCTGATGCAAAAACTCACTGCAACCAGCCAGCTATTTGTATTAGCTTACAGCTTACAGCTTGCAGCAGTGTCTTCGAGGCGGCAAAAGTGCAAGCGGGGCAAGACGCCGCAACGTGACACCTATCTGCGACGATGAAGAAGATAACCAACAAATCGGATAAATTGACCTAGCCAATGATCGCCCCACAACCGACATTCCCAGAACATGAACCTACCATACGCTCATCCAAACGCAAGTTTTAACCTGACAACGCGGGGCACAGAAGTGTATCGCACACTTCTCGCACACGTCAAGCTAGCTCTAGTACTATAGCCCGCTTACATTAACTGCCGCAGGCAGCGGGCTATAGTAAGCGGGCTATAGTACTAGAGCTAG